TGGTCTTAAGACCGGTCTTAAGACCAAGACCAACTTCGAGTACCACAACACTGACTGAGCAAATCATTTCACAGGTGTTTTCATATCACCTGTTAATCTGTGTGGTGATTCTTATCTGGTTTCAATGAATAAATAACTCAGTGTGATGTGAAGAGTACAGAGAGAGAAAAACAACATAGACTAAACCCAATCTGATGTTGAAACATAATTTATTTCTGTTTGCTGAGTTTCTACCAGATTTTACTCCATGCCAGCCTCACATGGAGTAAAATCCATGTGAGGCTGGCATGGAATCTTAAATCCCGTTAAGATTTCAAATCTTAACGGGATTTTCTTGTTGAAATTAAGGTTAAATAGAATAAATGAATAAAACCTGGACATTGCTAAACTGTACTCCCAGGGAATTTTTGTTCCAAACTTTCACTTTCACTTCTTGCTGTTTGTTTCTTACTGAGGCGTGTCGCCCATGACGTAATATGATTAAAGGTTTCTAAATAAGGTTGCTGGTCTTTTACCTGTTACATGACTGCATCGATTTCACCTGCAACAGGTAGGACAAACTGCAGCTTTGCTCTAAAAAACTCACAGTATTATTAAATATTTAGCAGTAGATTTATTCTGAACTAACAGCATCTGGTTACTATATCAGACAAAGTTGTTCAGTCATAGAGTTTCTGTTGTTTAGTGGAAATTCACACAGCTGACAGAAATGTGGGAATTTAGGTCAAAAGTAAAAAACATAACTTCAGCATTTTCCTATTTTAGAGACTTGATTTTAATTTTCTGTTCATCCATGAGTGACCTGCAAAGTGATCTACTCCATAAACTGATTGTCCAGAGCAGCTGAAAGGAGAGCTAGTGATTCTGTGTGTTAGGATCTTGGGTTATTTTGGTCATTTCATTCTAGTTCCATGATTATTGTGTTCCTTCGTTTCTTCTTTTGATTACATCAGCCTTGTTTCTATTTTACTTTAGTATAGTCTTTTTTCAATTATTCTAGTTTGTTTATTGATTCCTGGCATCTCGTTATAGGTTGATAGGTATTTTTCTGAACCTACATAAAGAACCACAGACAACGTCTATGAATTTTATGGCCGAACTTTTGCAAAAGGAGAAGTTTCAGCAAAGTGCTCCTCCGAGCTGTTCACTGAGCGTTCTGCCTTCTGACAGCTAGAGCCAGCCTTTTATTTAGGAAAAGGAAGAATGTGAAAGATAAACAGCAAGAGTCAGATGGCAAGCTCTATCAGCACACACAGGTCACCTAGCCCTTTGAGAGCGATGTCTCCTAAGGGTGGAGGGAACGATCAGTTCTTCTTGGAACACAGATACTTGGTGTCAAATTATTCAACACAGCAGTCAAAAAGTTTTCGCACAGCACGTCACTACTGATTAACAGACTGAATAATGACCTAACGTAATAATAAAAGTGCCCTTTTTAGCCAATTTCTTTATTTATTTATTTTTGGTAGTATTATTTTCGAAGCCCTCTTCTGACACATAATAACATGTACTAAAATTATTTGTTTTTTTGTACAACATAATAAGGGGGTTTCACATTTTAACACATTTTAACACTATAAAATGTACCGCCCACGTTGAGAAACACTCCTCTAGATATTAATGCACAAATCACAGCAGGAATATCTCTTAATAAGAGGGATGATACTTAAGAATCATCCCGATAATCGGGGAATCCCTAAGATTGTCAGAAAAGGGAAATCGGGGGAAAAAATGACAAAAAATCTTTCCCTGTTAACTGGACATGATTCCCACACTTTGCTTTTGACTCAATATTAACATGTAATCGTCCATTGTGTAAAACGTTTTGATCAGATCCGACAAGAAATACAGAGTTACCACAATCTGTTGCTAAAAAAGTCACATTCGTAAACTTTAAGAGAACTCTGTTCTGATTGGCGTTTTCTGACAGTGAATGTGAGAGAGTTTGTAAGGTTTGGCCCATGGGGCCTCTTATGCTTCCAGCTTAAACTTTCGCTATGAGCTCCATAAGTGAAAGTTTGAAGTGAAAATCCTCTGCCAGACTTTATAACAGCAGCTGATTCTTCCTGCCAATCAGCTGATTTACTGTAACTCAGCAGCTCTCCACATGTTTTACATGAATTTAAATCCTGCAGCAGAAACACGGCAGCTGCTTCACATGTACCTGGTAGGCTCTAATTTAAATGTGCAAACCCTGAATTGATGCATAAATCAGACTAAATATTCAGTATCTGTTAAGTCTGAATGAAAGTCTGAACATTTAGAAGGAAATACTGAAGACTTGTGAGCTGTAGATGCAATTCTGTTCATTTTTATTTATGTAGCGCCAATTCATAACAAATGTTGTCTCAAGACATGATAGGTATTTTTTGACAACCTATGTAAAATGAACCACAGACAACTTATGTGAGTTTTTACCAAGCTTTCATGAAAGAAGAAGACGCAGCGGACCACTCCAGCGCGCTGCCCTCCACGCGTTCTGAAAACCCTCAGTTAGAGCTTTGTCTTTTATTATCAAGAAAAAGAGGGTGGATGGGAAAGCAATACGGGAGAAACAAACTACTTCTGCACACAGGCAGTTTCTCAAGTAAGGAGAAACTGCCTTATTGTGTTATTATTACTTACTGTTATTCTGGTGGATAAAAAAGCAGCTGTAGAAAGATAATTCAAGGTTAGGGAACACACAGTTAACTCCAATCTAATATCAACTCTTACACAGTAGGAACACTTTAAATGAAAAAACAAGTTAACTACTGTCAAAGTCATAATACATAGTTTCTAACAAGACACTTTACAAACAAATTATACTTACATACATTTAAATTGATTCTAATTTCAAAAAGTACAGAAAGCTCAGTTATCAAAAGTAGTTTAAAAGGTTTCTAAGAAAAGATGAAAAACATGTACAGTAAAACACATTTTATGGTAATCTGTGTTTTCTGTGTATTTATTTTGAGGTTTTTCTGAATTTATTAGTCTGGACCTAAATAGGAACGATAAATTTTCTTTATTTGTAAAAAGTGTAAACTTGACTTGAAAGTTCTCTTGAAAACCAGTGATGTGAATTCAGATTATTTAGACTGATTACTGAACAGATTCAATTTCAGAGAAAATATTTAATCTGCTGTTTTTCTTTGCGCAGTAAACTCACAGATTTACTGCAGCACAGATTCTTGTTTCCTGTTGAAAATGTTGCTGTCAGAGTATAAATGAAGCTGCTGCAGGATAAACTCAGAGTTGAATAACTTAGTTTATCAGGTTAACCAGAAGCCAAACCAGCTTTTCCTCAAGAACTTTACTTCTGACTAAGAATCAGATCATTTACAAAAAAAAAAAGATGAAATAAATATTTAAAGAGGTTAGGTTGTCCTCAGCGCCTGCTGAAATGTTTTGTACATGTACAGAACATGTCTGTACATATACTGACATGTTGTTCTGTTCATGTGTTTCTCCTCTATGGCTCTCATGTCTAAAGTATTTCTTGATTCAGACTTTAACATAATCTTCATATTTACTGATTCATGCATCAGTTCAGGGTTTGCACATTTAAAGGAAAGGCTACCAGGAGCCTGTGAAGCAGCTGCTGTGTTTCTGCTGTTTTCATGTAAAACGTGTGGAGAGCTGCTGAGTTACAGTAAATCAGCTGATTTACAGGAAGAATCCGCCTCTGTTATAAAGTCCGGCAGATTTCTGCCAAACCAGGTCAGGGGTGTGTTTTCAAATCAATCGTTGATATGAAAGATGATGTTATTGTGATTACTTCAAATAAAACTCCATTATGATGATGTGAAGAAGACAGAGATAGAAATAAAACAGATACACTAAACCAAACCTAATGATTATTTCTGATTGCTTAGTTTCACTTTCACTTATTTGTTTCCTGTTGAGGCGTGTTGCCCATGAATTAATCTGATTCAAGGTTTATAAATAAGGCTGCTGGTCTTTTACCAGTTACATAACATTGATTTCACCTGCAACAGGTAGGACAAACTGCAGCTTTGCTCTAATAAATTAACATTATTATTATTAAATATTTAGCGGTAGATTTATTCTGAACTAACAGCATCTGGTTACTATATCAGACAAAGTTGTTCAGTCATAGAGTTTCTGTTGTTTAGTGGAAATTCACACAGCTGACAGAAATGTGGGAATTTAGGTCAAAAGTAAAAAACATAACTTCAGCATTTTCTTATTTTAGAGACTTGATTTTAATTTTCTGTTCATCCATGAGTGACCTGCAAAGTGATCTACTCCATAAACTGATTTTCCAGAGCAGCTGAAAGGAGAGCTAGTGATTCTGTGTGTTAGGATCTTGGGTTATTTTGGTCATTTCATTCTAGTTCCATGATTATTGTGTTCCTTCGTTTCTTCTTTTGATTACATCAGCCTTGTTTCTATTTTACTTTAGTATAGTCTTTTTTCAATTATTCTAGTTTGTTTATTGATTCCTGGCATCTCGTTATAGGTTGATAGGTATTTTTCTGAACCTACATAAAGAACCACAGACAACTTCTATGAATTTTATGGCCGAACTTTTGCAAAAGGAGAAGTTTCAGCAAAGTGCTCCTCCGAGCTGTTCACTGAGCGTTCTGCCTTCTGACAGCTAGAGCCAGCCTTTTATTTAGGAAAAGGAAGAATGTGAAAGATAAACAGCAAGAGTCAGATGGCAAGCTCTATCAGCACACACAGGTCATCTAGCCCTTTGAGAGCGATGTCTCCTAAGGGTGGAGGGAACGATCAGTTCTTCTTGGAACACAGATACTTGGTGCCAAATTATTCAACACAGCAGTCAAAAAGTTTTAGCACAGACAAGAAAATCACATCAATACTGATTAATATAAGACTGATTAATGATCTAAAGTAATAATAAATGTATGATATATAAATGTAAAATGATAACACAAAAATCCCAACATAGGTTGTTTTTGGATTAATTTTCCTAGTTGTCCTGTTGTGTACTCTCACTCGCCCCCTGTGCCATTTTCTCTCTCTCCTCTCACACCTGTTGGCTAGTTACCCCAGCCTTTTTCGCCCAGCATTCACCCTCACAATATTTAAATCCTTATACGCCATTAGAGCCTGTTCTCTGCTCATGCTCCCTACGCTTCTCTGGTTCTGATGGAGAACCAAAAGACCTTCTTCCCCTCTGTTCCTCAAGCAACTCCTACCTCCCAACACAGATGGAGACACTGCTGCTGCCAAAAGCACAGCTTCTCTCAGTCTTTTGAGCTCAACAGTGTTCACCAGTCTCCTGAGGTCCACAGGTTTCTGCCAGAACTCCCTGCCCTTGTGAGCCTGCCTTGTTGTCAGCGAACCCCCACATGGATCATCTTCCCAAAACCAGAACGGGAAGACTATAAGGACCTTCAGTCGATAACGGCCTCCAGAAACTCAGTAATGCCGCAGTACTGTGTTTGTCAAGCTCCTCTGCCTCCCATTGCTGAGCTTAATCTCCCAGGCTCAGACTGTAATATCCAGATGAGGGCATGAGTTATTTCTCTTAATACATGTTCTAATAGAATGAACGCAATGTCTTTTGTGGATGTTTTCTATATTTTGCATTTTTGATGCTTGCTGCAAACCAATTTCCTTCTGAGATATGCATAAAACTAAAACTTGAACCTTTTTTCAGGAAAATCACTGGGATCCCACCATGGATGTAGCCGACATGCTCATAGATAAAATCTTCAAGTGGGTGGAGCTGCAGAAAAAAGGTGCAGAGAAGTTTGACAAACTGGCCACTGAGCTGGAGGAAACCAAGAAAGGTTGCAACGTCAGCAAAGTTGTAGGCAGCTCAGTGTCTGTAGGAGGAGCGGCGGCCATGACAGTTTCTGGTATATCAGCCCTGGTCACTGGAGGAGCTGCGATCCCGTTCCTGTTCACAGCTGGAGCCGTGGCCTCTGGCCTCGGTCTGACCACTAATGTGGCCTCAGACGTTGTGGACATCACTGTGGCGAGCCTAAACATGAACGAAGCCAAAGAGATCGGTGAGAAGATCGAGAATCTCGAAAAGGGGATTGAGAAACTGATGGGAACGCTGAAGGAGGAAGGAGAGCGCAGGGAAAAAGAGGCTTCGTCCTTTAAGAAACTTTCTCCAGAAGATTATGTTGTAGAAAGGATCGTGAGGGCCATGGCCAAACGAGAGGGGCTGATCCTGAACGACAGGATGAGTCTGCAGAGCATGATGTCTGGTTTCTCCAAAACACTGATCAGTGATAAGGGCGCAGATTTAGCTCTTCTTGGGATTTCTTTAGCTTCCAAGTTTGCGATGATTGCAGCGAGAAAGTCTGGGAAGAGTTTGGTGTCGAATGGACTTCCAGAGCTGGCAGCGTCCATGGGAGCAAAAGCTGCAGGCAAAGCAGTCGGACGGGTGAGTAACTCAGACTGCTCACTGAGAATAATAGTTATCACAATATTTTGTGGGACTTTATGACGGCGTATTAAGGCCATTTTAAATAGAAATCTCTGATTATTTCTGATGTTTGATAAACATTTTACTCTCCTAAACTTATTTTGCCTTTCCCAGGTTGGAGCAGGAGTGGTTGGATTGGCGTTTTCAGTTCCTGAGCTGGTGATCAACTGTATCGATGTGAATAACTGTAAGACTGAAGCCAGTCAGAGTCTGAGGAAGAACGCTAAGGACATACGGATCGCTTCTGACCAGATGGAAACCGACCTGAAAAACATTCAGTAAGTCTGAATGATGAAACATCTCACTAACTAAAATAATGGAAATAGAAAAAATACTGAACTTTACAGGAAACCAACTCATAAATCATTGTTTTTGATGTTTTTTCATGTATTCCAAAAGTTTTATACAGTATTTTATTTATGTACCACTTAGAAAACAACACATGGCCAACTCAGGTTATCTCTAGCCCTGGGCACGCACACACACAGCAGGAATATCTCTTAATATTTTAAGAATCATCCCAATAATCGGAGAATCCCTAAGATTGTCAGAAAAGGAAAATCGGGGGAAAAAAATGACATAAAAATCTTGTCGCGTTAACTAGACATCATTCCCACACTTTGCTCTTGACTCGATATCAACATTGTGTAAAACGTTTTGATCAGATCCAACAGGACAAGAAATACAGAGTTACCACAATCTGTTGCTAAAAAGAAGAACTGTGTTCTGATTGGCGTTTTCTCTTCCAGATCGATCTTCCGAAGGTTAGCCAAGGTTAAACGCTCCATTGAAACCAAAAACAAGAGCAGTGACGACTGTCAAACTCTGCTGAAGTTTGCACAGGATACCTGCAAAGATGAATCCGTTAGGAAGTGGCTCAGGGAAAAAGCACAGTCCAAGATCTTCTCCAAGCTGGTGGACATGTTCCAGTTCCTGAAGGAAAAGCTTGATGAGGAAGAGAAGAAGAACCACAGCAACGAAGTTGACATTACCTTTGTGGCTCATGGAGCGATAACTGACTCCATGATGCCAGCCAGCTGCCTGCTGCCTCTGCCCACCGTCTCCGACGTTGTCCTATACTCGCCCTGGAACTGCTACCTTGAAGCTACCGCAGCGTACGGTATCGCCACAGGGAAGATTCAACCTGTCCACAGAGAGTTTCACTGTACACCTGGTTGTGGCTGCAAGGTTCCAGATGACGGGCATCGGCCCAAACGTCTCCCTGATGGATGGAACTCCATGAAGAAAGCTGGAAATCAAGAGATTCCCAACATCATCGTGTCTCCTTTAAAATCACCTGAAGATGGAGTCTGGAAGAAATTTGAGATGCTAGAAAGCAGACATGGCAACCCTGGAAGAAACCATATCCTCATCCCATTGATCCTCCCATCGACTGGTCCAAATGAAACTATCCCTCTCCCTGTTGTCACCTTGGCTCTGTCGCTGGTGCTCATGTTCTCCAGGTTTCAGGCCACGCTCCACCTCACCGTCTGTCTGGGGAAACGATCTGTGGAAATGAAACTGGATGAAGAAGCTCTGAAGCAGCAGTACGCCTGCACCATCAACTTCACAGTAATGACCTCAGCTGAGGAGATGTTGGCCTCCAATTTCACAAACTGGCTCCGCAAAGCTTTCAAAGCCGCTTTCAGGGACAAAATGAGGTATTGAGAAGATTTTAAACAAACATTTCTGCTTTGCTGAAGTAGATGTGTTGGACTCCAGCTTCAGGCCCATCTTAGCTGATTTTATTTTATCAACTATACATCAGATTCTTGTTATACTACTTCCTCTTCAGTTTCTAGATACTCTGACTGCACTGCCATCTAGTGGTCTTAAACAGCAAAGGGAATGTATCACTAGTTTAATTATTTCTTAAACTAAATAATGTAGTTTAATTCATTTATATAGTCACAGTGAATGCAGTTAGTTTTCAGCCAATCTTACAGTCATATTTACACTTAAAGAAATAAAAGTCTAATTGCATCCAATCAAAAAAGATCCAAAACTCAAATTCAGGACATCATATAATCAGGAATTTCAGCTGATTGGATGAAGTTATTTAGCAATAGGCAACAAACTGCATTACCTGCAGATGACTGGTCATATTTCTCAAATGTTTGGTTTGTTTTTACCTGTTTTTCTGTGATTATGCTGCAGACATCACTTCATTTATATGCAGTATACTCGATCATTGTACTGGATTAACTCAGCAAAGGGAAGAAGTCAAGTTTATCTGTAGCACATTTCAGCAATAAGGCTCTTCAAAGTGCTTTACATGATAAAAAACAACACAGTGATCAATTATGTTGTCAATAATATTCATCAAAATCAAAACAAACTTTCATCAGAATCATCAAAGGCAATGTTTGATGACTGCGTTCATTGCAATCATCAAATATTCCATTATGATTACAAATATCATCAAATATTGATTACTCCTTGAAGTAATCAATGTTCCAGTTATGAATCAACGTGTCTCGTAGCATATGGGGATTTTAGCCTTGATTTAAAGGTTGAGGTCAGAGTTCATCCTGATCTCTAGTTTGCAGCTGTAATAACTGAAGCTGTGCTTTGATTTTAGATGGTTCATCTTCAGGTCCAAAGATAAAAACTTCAGTTTTGTTTCTGGTCATCTGGAGAAGACTGTGGCACATCCACACATCATTTATCTTTTCTAAGTATTTCTTCTGTGGGTTGATGACTTCAGAGTCATCTGGTGACTTCGTGATGTAGAGCTGTGAATCATCTGTGTAGTTATGGTAACTAATGTTATTACTTGTTATAACCTGAGTAAGTGGGAGAATATTGAATAGGAGGGGTTCTAGGATCTGGCAATGAGCATCTTGCTGCTTCATGGTGACAGTAAGGATGCAACAGACACACATTCTTACTAAATGTTCTCCATCTTCTTTCTGCAGAGAAGTTTCACAAAGAACAAGGATCTCCAAAGAAAAGAACCAACAGCCTGCAGAGAGAAACTGTTTAAATCAAACTGGTTATATATTTATTTCTTTTGTTATTTTAATTTATTTTTTATTTTATTTTTCAGTGTTCAGATATTGACATCAACATTTCTTGTGGCAAATCTCACAGACAAAATATTAGGTTCTGCTTAACCAAAGCTATGACAAATAATCAGGTTATATTTTCAAGTCTATGTGGCTTTAGGGTCATTTCCTTCTGCCCCTATTTATCTCTGTAAATAGGTTTTGGGCCCCTCCATTGTGATAAACATATTTGTTCCCATTCTTCATCAGTTATGACAAGACCCGCTTCCTTTTCCCATTTATCTTTTATATACTGTGTGGAGTGGGTATTAAAGTTTCATATGATCTTATATATTTTCAAAATTATCAGTCTTGACAGTTTTATATGATTTTATTGTTAGTTCAATGGGTTGTATTGATCTGTGTTTTGTTTGATTTCCTGGTTGTAATTATTTCTTATTTGTAGATATCTCTAAAGATCTTTTTCCAAATTACAACCTTCTTGTGGTTTGTTGAAGCTTTCCATTTTATTTTCTTTCACAGTCTGAAAATTGAACTTTATACTTTCTGTCATTCAAGTTTTGAATCTGGAGTCGATGCTGTTTGGTAGAAAACTTTTATTATATGCTAACCAGTTTAAAACCTTGATTTCTTTACTTTTGTTTATTTTTACAACTTCTCTCCATGTTGTTAGTATTGATTTAACCCATTTATTTACCAGTTCGTCTTCAAATCAAGCTGTTTAGTGTCTGCCGTTAGTAATGGGACATCTGAGATCTTCCACTTTGCTTCATGCTCTTTATAGGAAGTTCAAATTTGAGCGGAGAGGAAATAGTTTTTGAGCCCTGAGGCCCCATCCTCCTCCTTTCATAACTGTAATGTTTTATAATACGAGGTTTTCCATATAAATCTGGATATTGCTTTGTCCCATTCTATAAAACGATGGCTTGGAATGGAAATTGGTAAAGTTTAAAAAAGATAGAGGGATTTTGATGTCACATTCATCTTTATGGTTTCTATTCTTGCTGTTAAGTTTAAATGGGGAATGAGATTCTATGTTTCCAGGTTTTTAACGACTGAATAAAGGTGACTATAATTGTTATCCATAATTTTAGTAACATTTTGATGAAGTATTACTCCCAGATATCTGAGGGATTGTGTGTTTCATCTAGGAGTTTTTTGTTTTTTTTATCTTTGGGTGGGCACCAATAAGAAGTAGTTTCTGTTTTTTCAGTATTTAATTTGTAGCCAGATATAGAGCCAGTTGTTTCTAGACTGTGCATCAGTTCTGGTTCAATCAGCCCAATCTCTGATGTCAGAAGGTCAACAGACTCTCATGTGATGCTGTGTTGATTCTTAGTAGACAACTGTTTGTGATTTGCTAATAGCTTACAAACCACTCACATTTGGGAAAGGAAGGGACTTTGTGCCACTATTTATATGAAGTAATTCCTGTCAATAAATGAGAAATTTTGCATTTCGCAGAGACTTTGTGTGGTCTCTCCCTCTACAGAGACATTTTATAAACAGTCAAGGACTGTAAGGCAGCTAAATTTAGGTTCTGGACCACCTGTAGGTTCTGGACCACCTGTAGGTTCTGGAACACCTGTAGGTGTTTCACAGGCAGGGAGGCCGGTTAGGGGGGGATGGCAGTCGTCATGGTGTGTCGTCACTGCACCAGACAATATTTAATTATAATTAACTTTAAATTGTTACTTTGAGTCTTTTTAAAAATATTTTTATCTTCTATAAAATGAGATTTTTTTTTGCTTCCTCTGCTGCTTGGTCATTTCAGACACATCAACAGAAATTTATTCATAATGCAGCATTTTTTTCTCCAGTTTCTTATTTCTACACATTAATCATGTGAAGTGCAGCTCAGTGACAATAAATCAGCTGATTTACAGGAATAATCTGCTATTGTGACAAAGGTCTGCAGGAATATTTGATGGATTTGATAACAATTGTTCTATGTAGGATGATTTTAATCGAATTTCCTTGATCCATAAAGTTAAAAGAAAACTACATCATAACACACCCCGAGTAATTTAACTGGTTTGCTGTGTTTTTACTTTAAGTAAAATAGTGACAGCTGCAGAATGTCCTGGTTTTTATTCTCAGGTTATATAATGTTTACTGTAATCCAACGATAGACTGAGAAACCTTCCCCTTATCTTGGGATTTCCCAGGGACTTCCATTCAGTTTCTCTTTCACAGTTTCAATATAGTAACAAACAGGTGCGTCACCAAGTGATCAGTGATAAAACCTCAGAGCTTCAGGTCTTACCTGATCCGATGAAGCACAGCTCTTCATTCAACAGCAGGTAAGACTAACTGACGCTTTACTTTAACTATCCCACAGGATTCCTCCATGTCATCCACCTGACAGAGGGGTGAAGCAGATTCAGCTTTAAATCTGTGGATCTCATTCAGTTTAGGACAAAATGCCACCTGAATCATGTTTTAGGAAAAAAATAAAAGCTTCTTTCTGCTTTCAGGTGCTGACTTTCTGCCAACCATGAGCTACGTAACAACCGATCCCAACCTGATGAAGTTACATTCTGCTTTCCAGGAGATGAAAAGCCAGAAGCAGATCTTGTGAGTTTCTGAACTCCTTATATTTCTGATGTTTCTGTTGCTTTAAAGCACTGAAGCAAAGAGGACCCACAGGGGTCCAGCAGGACAAAGTGATCAGTCGTTTGACCAGCTGTTACCTGTGATTTCTAGTGTACATGTGTAAGAGGAGGGTGGGGGGGAAACAGGTGGCCCTCTACACCTTGGTTCCAGATTTCCCATCGTTGACGCTGCTGTGTTCAAACTGGGACTGGAGAAGGAATTTGAGAGATTTGTGTATCAAATGCATTAAAATTAGGAAAGGACTGAGCAGAGCAAGGTGCGTCTCTTTCAGACTCTCCCTTTGTGCATGTAAGATCCACATGCATCTGTCTCACACCTTGGATCCCTCAAAGCTTCCCAGCGACACCAAGGGGTGTCCATCCAGAGTAGCTACCCCAGGTAGGGGGGCAAGAGAACCTCTGCAAGCCACGAAGAGTCAGCGCCGGAACCTCCCAGACCAACCCAAGACTATGAGAACTAGAAGACCGAAGCAAAGGTTGTCAGGAATTCAGAGCCCGAAACTTAAAACAAGCTTTGATTATTTGGAGGCTCTAAGCAACTATTTCTCCAGATATTGCATGAATTTGCCTGCCACAGTCTGAGGAGGTCTGCTTCTCTCTGCTTCTCTCTGCAGCCTGGTTTTCTCACTTCATCACCTGGTTAGCTGTGGTCTGAACATATTCTGTGAATACTGTGATCACAACAAATAAATGTTCTTGACGTTTGTCCACAGAGACGAGAAGAACAGGCTGATGAAGCTTGCAGAAGAGAACTGCGCCAATCGAAAGACCCTGAAGTTGCTGAATAAAAACACCTTTCCAAAGCTGGTGGAGATGTTCAACTTTTTCAAAAAACACATAGATGAGGAGGAGGAGAAGAATCACAGTGACACTGTGGACATCACCTTTGTGGCTCATGGATGTATCAGAGACTTCATGATCCCAGCCAGCTGCCTGCTGCCTCTGGCCTCCATCAGGGACGTGGTTCTCTACGCTCCCTGGAACTGTGACTCTTACGGCGAGTCTAAATGCTCCAATATCTCCTCACTTTTATTTCCTTGAAAGAAAAATGATTGTTCCCATGTTTTTGACTGAAATGTTACTGCAGTTTAGAGTCCTGAATCTGTGGTCCAGGTTCAGGTTATGTTGTATTTTCCCGTTTTTATCAACTAAAATAATTATTTAAATAACTAACTGCACAGTAAAAAAAATTCCGTAAAACAACAGGAAAATGTCCTGGTAATTTTTTGCCAGTACATTTTCTGTTTTTTTACGGAATTTCCAGCAAATTTTTTTTCCATAATTTAACAGATTTTCCCCCCATAATTTAACAGTTTATATATGTTCAATTTTAAACATAGAAAACTGTTAAATTACGGAAAAAATTTTGCCAGAAATTTTGTAAAAAAACAGAAAATGTACTGGCAAAAAATTACCAGGACATTTTCCAGTTTTTTTACGGAAAAATGTGAACTAAAATACTGATAAATTACAGGAAAAAACTGAATATCCTGGCAAAAAGTTACCAGGACATTTTCTGGGGTTTTTTTCTTCCAGAATTTCCATCAAAATATTTTCCATAATTTAGCAGTTTGTCAAATTTACCAATATTTTGTTAACCCAAAACTGAAATTCTCTCTCTTTTTACTCTGTCTTTTGTGATTTATTCACAAACTTATTTTAAGAAACCTTGGACTTTTCCAAATACTTTTGTCCTCCAAACCATTGAAGTCTGTATTCTATACCATGTTAATTATAGTGTAAAATATATGAAAGTTAATGTATTTAATATATTCCACAGTCCACAGGAAATGTAGTTGTAAAACACAAAACACTGAGTTTGAAAGTAGCTCATGCAAAATGATAT